TATATATATATATATGTCCATACGTAATTGTCTTAATACTGCTTTTTTGTAGCTGGCGTTGGATGCTCTCTCCACGATCATGTCCTATCCCCAAACCCCAAACCCTTTTCATGGTGGAACCACTGGCCTTACCAGTCGACTGGCCTTACCGTCTTGAGGGCCCCACTTGTTGCACGTCTTTCAGCAACGCATCCTTCTGATGGGACCTGTTCTGGCCGGCGGAGCAGCTCCGCTTGCTTCACTTCCCAGAATGCAAGAGGAGGCATCAAGAAAGACCAAATAGGCATGATTTTGCTTAAGTCAACCTCTCTTGACAACCTCTTTCTCCTGGCCACGAGAAATGATCAAAATAGAACCCCATCCTATTTTGTATGTGTTGCAGTCCAACATTGCCAAATGATTTCCTGCAAGGTGGGTGGCTTCCATTCTAATTGTGAGATCGATTGTTCATCTCAATTTCCCGCAAATGGCCCCTCTCTACTTTAGAGTCTCTTGGTCCCAGACAGACAGACAAATACCAAACTGACATCCATCCGAATTCAGAACCCAACGTGTTTCGACATGTAATCCCTGTGTCTGGTCCAATGGCAAAAAGGATAAGTTGGTTTAAACTTAAACAAGAAAAGTATCAGTTCCCCATTCCCTACTCGCGTGTGGCATGAGCCTTGAAATGTTGATCGCTAACAAGGCACACACTTTGGAGCCATGTTGAGGAGGAGGAATGGTGTGCCTGCCCAGCCAGCATATTCACCAGGGACCCCTGCAACTCCTTCAAACGTAGCTCCAGGCGCCGACGTACATGGGGCAGGTGCAGCCGAGAGTAGTTCTGCAGCAGCACCTGGTGCAACGAACGTCCCAGCGATGGATTTGCATCTCCTGCGACATCTCCATTTACATTGTTGTGAACCAAAGGTTGAACGATGCATTTGAAGGTTGATGAGCTCCTCTAAAACCCCTTCACGTTCTGAAGGCTTACAATAAAGCATCAAAGCAATGCACACGACATTGTGGATGCCGACTGCCCCTGTGAGCTCAAGATCTGGGAAGAACCTTTCAATAAGGAATTCCTCAAATGGTTCCATCTACTGCAGGTACATCCGGGCTTTGGTTTGCCACGCAACAACGTTCCCCTAATCTTTAGCTCAACTCACTTGAAAAAATGAGTCAGTGGGTTCAACCATCCCAAGTAAAGGTTGAACATAAACATGAACTACCAGTTAGGTCTTCGCCATCATTGGCGGTGATCAACTTCTGTCCCTCAAGCCTCGGTTCCGAGTTCCTGTTAGGCATTTGGTCAGCGCACAGGTTGGCTCGGAAAGCTAGTCTTGAGCCCTGAGACACAGCGCCCTGGATCACCACCAAACAGCGGCCGCGGCGCGGAATTGGCACAGCCAAAGGCCAAAAGCCCCATGGCCTTCAGCGGCTGCTCGCGGTGCTCGTTTACTGGGAGGCTTGGGGCAAACGGCACAGGCGGCAGAAACGCATGTGGCTGTAGTTTGGGTGTCCCTATGAATTCGAGAAACTTCAGGTGGCTCAGGGTTCCATTCACAGGGTCCCTGCAGATATTCAAATCAGTTTTCGGCCATTAGGGCTCACCAAACCTGCGAGAAGACCATCTGCCTGTGAATTCCGTGTCTGTTTGGAATCTATTTGGTCTCCTCTCCCAAAGATTCAATGACAATGGTGTGCAGCGAGAATCCTGTGGGATTCTAATATATAATCTTAAAATATCTTAACATTCCTTCCTCGAAGCTTGCAAAACGTCTTCCTCCTGTTCCTTGGACTCTACACTACGTTACGACGATTTTTGCGAATGGATTTCGGAGGCCTCACGTTCATGTGGGGGCATGATTCAAGCCCTTGAACCAGTCCAACCATGAGCAGCGCCTTGAGAGTTCATGATGCATTTGGTCTTTGGTTCACCGTCTTCTAGAAGCCAAGTCCAGCCAGGGCGGCAGTAGAGGAATCAGCAACTTTCTGCTTTTGTATCGAACACTGGCAGCAGCCGACTGCGGTCTAAAAGGCCTCCGAAGCATCCATTCAATGTTCAATCGACATGTCCAAAGAACCAAAAATTCAACTGGTATGTAGAGGTAAGAACACGGCAAAACATTGCAAAACACCCAGTATGTATGTCATCCTTTATCCATCAGCAACCATCTCCAGTGCATCCAGGACATGTGAGAACGTTCGAAGCTCACCCTCAACATCAGCAATGTGGCAAGGTTCAACACGAAAAACAAAACGTGGTAGCCGCAGTCACATCGACACATGTCTCATTGTTGATCATTAAGGAACGTCTTGATTCTTTGTGAAATTGCTAGACCCCAGCACAGCAGTCTTGTGATCGCCAACAGTCAGTCCCCTAGGCAATTATATAACACTGTGATACTGTCATACGATCTCGTAAGTCAGAGTGCCATTCCCCCTATCGCCCGACGTGCTCCCACACCCTGCCGGCCTTCACTCTCCGCCCTGAAGGCACTCCCCCCTTTCTTTCTGCCAAAAGGCCCAGCCCCATCGGTGCATGAGGACAGCAGTGCCAGATCCTGAGACAATTGACCCGCTGACTCCATCGTCCATCTCATCGAACTGAGCCACCCACCCACCATGGCCACCAGAGCGGCCAGGAAGAGCCCAGAGATGGTGCTAAACCTCAGGAGCTGATGAGGGACATTCTCTTTACCAACTAAACGGCTATATAACCAGACGACCACACCCAGCAAGGGTGGCGGTCGTGTTCTGAGGTGGCCATGAATGGCCAACCCATGCCAACCCTCCACTCATTCTTACAATCTGCCGATGTTTGCAATCTTGATTGAAGTTGATTCTTGCATCAGAAATGGTTTCTATCACAGAACCTGCAAAACCAGCATCCCACCGCCTCTGCCCAAATGACCCTGAGAAGCAGGCTCAGCTAAACTGTCAGAGAGGTCCTTAGGTCTCCAAGTGGCCACAAAAAAAAAAACTTCACGAGCTGCATGAAGAGGTTTCCTCCCCACCGGTTTGGGGTTTACATGCATTCGCACTCATCAGCCCTCCAATGCATCACTGCCGTTCTGGTCCCCCCACGAGGTCCGGATCGAGCCCTCTGAGGTATGCGCGTTAGAGACGGGCGATCGATCAATCGATGAGAAGGGGGTAGAGAAGAGAGCCAACAGAATAAGTCCTATGTAGGTGGTGAAGGAGTGGTGAATGACAAGGGTGGGCAAGGGCGTTTACCAAAAGCAGTCGCAACAGCCTTTCAAACACGTTCCATACCTGGCCGATACTTTGTGACGACGTTCCACATGGTGTTCCACATGGTCCTGTCATTTGATTCTCGGCGACTCCATGTTAAAAGGCCGCTCAAAAACGAATACGAGAAAACAAGCCAACAGGCCAAAGAATGAAAAACGCGATGTGACCACCCAGGCATCCCCATCACGCGGTGTTTGGAAAATAACCCTCGCCACCCGGTGAACCTGTCCACCATCACCGGTGGTAAAAGTTCAGATGAAAGTCTGAAGAAAGATCTTCAAAAAGAGTTTTAAGAAGAACATAAGACATACTTTAAAAAATACTTAGTGCATAGCCGCTGACACGACTTTTTGCCGTCTTGCACTGAA